GTACTTGGGAAGCTGAGGTAGGAGGATTGCTGTGAGATCAAGGCCATACTGTACTACAGAGTGAGTTCAAGGCCAGCCTGAACTACATAGAGAGACCCCCCTCTCAAGCAAACAAAGATGTTCAGTGGTTCAGTGCAAAACCCCTCGGTTTAATCCCAGTACTAAAAAATGAAGAAGAGGAGAAAAAAGTTACAGTGGTGCATTCTATGTTAGGTATATTTTCCCACAATTCAAAAAAAAGGAGAAAAAACAATGAGTATTTGTTTGTAGTGTCCTGGAAAGATGGTAATAAAAATTCTCTGAATGGTAAAGTATGAGTGTTTACAGAAAAATATATGAATGGATGAAAACCAAACATATTATTCCAGGAAGTATTAAGTATTTATTGTTTGTCTATGACAAGGAACATGAATTGAGCTCTCAGACTCAGGCTCAAGTACCAGCTCCAGTACTGATTCGACAGATGAGTTGAATAAATTACATGCTACTTTCTTCATCTGCAAAACAGGAAGAGAAATAGTAACTGCCTCATTAAAGCTGCTGTAAGAAACAGATATTACCACAATGTCTGTCACAATAAATTGTAGCTACTAGTTACTGCCATCATATTATCATCTCCTTCTGTGTCTTTTTTTTGAGACAGGGTACCACTATATAGTTTCTGGCCTTGAACTCACTAGGTAGTCCAGGCTGGCCTCGAAAGTGCGGGAATCCTCCCTGCCTGGGACTCCTGAGCGCTGGGATTAGAGGCACGCACCACCATGTCCAGCAAGGAAGTGCAACTGACAAGTTTGAAAGGGACAGGTTAAAAGCCTAGATTTACAGGCTTATTATAAAAAGGACCATTAGGAATTTGGGGGTTTTTTAGTGAGTTTCCTAGAAGGGAGAAAAAGGCTTGAGTAACTTTTGTGTCTTGAAGCTTCAGTTTTTCTTAAAAGCAAAATTTTAAGGGGCCAGGGATTTAGCTCAGTGGTGCCACTGCCTGCCTCACAAGTGCAAGGTCTTGAGTTTGATCCCCAATGCCAAAAAAAAAAAAAAAAAAAAAAAAAAATTAAAATTTTTAATTTAAAAAAAAAAAAAAAAAAAAAAAAAAAAATTTAAATTTTTGACGTGTCTTATTTTTAACCTAGTTTTTATTTTTTTTCTATCCTGCTTCAAGTACCCTATGCATTTTTCCATCCTATACTTCTCTATTAGGACGGTAAAAAGATTTAACTAAGTATCAAAAAGAGAAAAACAGAAATAGAAAACAATACAAAAAGGCCAAAAATAAGAGGGTTTACATAGTACTTGTTTTTGTCTTTTGTTTTAAGACAGGGTCTTGCCTTGTAGTGCAGGCTGGCCTTGAACTCATTATGTAACCCGGACTGGCTTTGAGCTCAGGACAATCTTCCTGCCTCAGCCTCCTAAGTGCTGGTATTGAAGGCATGCACCACCATAACTGGCCACATAGTACTCCTTTTTGATCCTACTAGGGCTAGGTTGCTTCCATGATCATGAGAATCCAGACTTTGACCATAAACAATTGGCACAGTATAGAGATATCTGTCCTACTTTGTTTCCCCCTGGCCTGTCCCTTACACACAAAGTATTAAGACTCATAGTCTAGGAGTTTGACTATCACCTTACTCTTTCTTTTCCAACTCAGTTTTTCCACTGCAAAAACATTTTTTTAACCCAAGTCCTGTTCATTGAGCTACATTCCCAGCCCTTTTTTAATTTTTAATTTTGAGACAGGGTCTGGGCTAAGGTGCTAAGTTGCTCAGGCTGGGCTCAAACTTGTGATCCTCCTGCCTTGTGGTCTTGTGTTCTTCCCAGAAGCTCTCAGAGCTTTCTTTGATTTACTGGAACTTTCTCCCTTACCAGATCAGCAGACTGATAAACCCTAGAGTTGTTATCCTTGTTGAGTCACAGTTACCAGCTTATTCATACCAACTTTGCTGCTGTCTTTGGGCTATTACCACACTGATGCTCTGTGGGTTGAGAAATCTGGAGTCTTTAGGCAGAGACTAGAATTTTTCCTTTACAGTATTTCACATTCAATAAATCTCATTAATGCCAAATATGAAATAAACCAATAACTTCTCCTGGTTTTTTTACCCTTGAGGCACTAACCTATGAAATGAGAAATCTCATACCCCTTGGAACAGGATGGCCATGTGCTTCTCTGTTGGTAAAGAGTTCTCAATTTTATTAATTATGTTTGTGACTAAAACAAGGCAGGACTTTATTTCACATAGCACGAGGGTTTCATTTCCCTACTTTCTTCTGCTATCCCTTATATTCCTTCTCCTTTCATTCTCTTTCTTTCCTCCTCTCCTTTCTTCTCCTACCTGCCCTCCCCAACACTCTTAAGTACCTTGTACATGCTAGGTATTCAATGTAAAACTTCAAAAAAACCAAATCACCTTTTCATGGAGTTTACAAACCTAATGAGTAATTTGAGTTATTCATCAAAAAAAACCCACCAAATCTGTAATTACAAGCTGCACTTAGTGCTACGAAGGAAAACACAGAACTTTGTGAGAAATCTCTGTAGGTGAAAGCTTCACCCAGGAGGTAGCAGCTGACCTGGGGTGGAAAAGGTAAGAAGTTAGCCAGGCATCTCCATTTAGAGCCTAAAATAGGCAGCAACTAGGACTTTCATCGGTACCTGGACATGCCTCACAGATGTAAATATTTATGGAAGAAGGCAATGGACAATACTAATAGTATAAAATCAATGAAAACGGGCTCTGCTTTGTTGTTTTGGGTTTTTTGTTTTGAGACAGGGTCTCACTATGTAGTTCAAGCGTTTGTTTGTTTTTTTTTTTTTTCTTGTTTTAAACAGGATCTTGCTTTGTAGTGCAAAGTGACCTTGAACTCACTGTGCAGCCTAGGCTGGCCTCAAACTCTCAGTGATCCTCCTGCCTCAACCTCCCAAGTGCTGGGAATTCAGATGTGTACAACCAAATCTGGCTATTTCTGGTTTTTTTGAGACAGGTCTTGCTACAGTATGTACTGCAGGCTTGCCTCCAATATTCATCTAACAATTTAGTAAACTGAACTGCTATTAACTAAAAGAAAGCCAATGGAAAAAGAGTAGAATGTTTTCTTATGCCTCTTTGCTACCAGCTCCACAGTGGGCTGGCTCTTCCTTCCAAGGAGATTTAGATCAGCTGTACATACTTCTTTTTCTTGCTCTTTGTTAAGGGTAAAATATAGTGATTAAGAGGAGGGTTTTGAGTCCTGTCCCTGACACTTAACAGTGGTGAGCAAGGAACCTCTTTTACCTCAGTCTTGGAAGGAAGAGCCCACTGTGGAGTTGGTAACAAAAAGCCAACAGGATTTAATGAGCTAACCATGCAATCTCCTTCTTTTACCTCCCTATTAATAAGCTAAGCTTCTAATTATATTTCTGCCTTATTAATAAAATGATCTTCGAATTATATTCTGGCTTCCTGTATAATTTTTCTGCTAGGAGATAATGTACTGACCAGCCTACACATGCAGTTTCAATTGACAACTCTATTATTGTGAGTTAATAAAATGGTATTCTTTTTTTTAAAAAGTGAAATAACTCTAAAGCAAAAAATAGTATTATAGTTATTTTTCCATGAAGGATTAGTTTGAAAAATAAAAAAACAGCCAGTAAGAGTAACCTATCTATTGCCTCTTTTGTACTTAACCTTCCCTGGCTGCCCGCTTTGAGTGATTATGGATGTGATCCGAAAGTCTAGAGATGAGACCATCTTTGTCCTTCTTTGTTGAAGCCCTTACTTAGCACAGTTCAAGTGCTTCCTTTGTTTCCTTCTGTAAATTCCCATCTTTTTTCGCCGGAATACATTTCACCTAGAGGCATTTTCATCCTAATTTACCTAATTCTAGCAATAGGCGGCTAAAGGCTGTTACAAGGGCTGTGTCCATCTCCCCAGGGTAAAATGCAACCTACGCTAGGAGCAGGCGGTCGCCTAAGAACATCCCGAATCCCGGTGTTTCCTGTCATTCCCCCGGCGCTGGGGGCCACCGTGACACCCGCCCTTCCCCATGCCTCCCTCTCAGGGACGCCACGGAATTGCTTCCCGACTCCCCTACTCCTTATCCGCCCAAGTTTTGTTTCGCTCCTTTTCCTTGTCTTTCTGTGATGCCTTCAATGGTTAAAACTAGAACAAGAGCAGGTGGACATTTTAAAGTGAAAGCTTCGCGCAAGAACAGACCGTTTCTCCAGCACATTCAAGGGCGTGCATGGGGATTTTCCTCCCAAGAAAGATACTCGTTCAATACTCTTCAACAAAAGATTGAAATCTCTTAACCCCGATTTTCTTTTTTGTCTTCTCAGAGGCACAGAAAAGCCAGACAGGGTCAAGGCAGCCTCAGCAGCGGCCTCCTTTCTGATGGAGAAGGACAGCGCATGGCCTCCACGTCAGGGTCAGGGAAGGGTGACACGCTGGGGAGACGATGGCGTTGTCTAAATCGATAGCAGCACTCTCATTAATTTTCTTTCCAGCCGTTTTCAAGGAAGCCATTAACCAAGAAATTACAGCTGGACCGGCGCGCCTCAGCAGCTGCACCCGCCGGCGGCGAGCAGGGTGGAAAACTACGGCTGTGCGAAGACGCGCCCGCGGGCCAGCCAACATGGCCACCTCCACATGGTCGAGAGCCACTGGCTCCCGGTGACAAGGCGTCCAAAGGCGGGGCAGCCGGAAGGACCGTAGACTAGACCGAGGCAGAGCGCAAAACCTCGGCGATTCCGCTAACCACCACTGGGGGACGCGACCTCGCGGACTGAGATCTCGTCCAACGGTCGGAGGGAAGGTACCACGTCGCAGCACAGGGGAGCCGGTCCCTAACGTCCTCGGCTCCTTTCCTCCCATATGGAACACGGAAGGCGACAACGGCTCTGTGGACTCGCGTTTCCACTAACCCCTTGTTTATAAATGCTTAAGTGGCTAAATAATCGCAGGAAAGGTGTTGCCTCCCCCCGTCTTATAGAGTGGTTTAGCCCCAGCGGGTCGCTGTACCTCCCTTTTTCTCTTCGCCACCCCCACTCCCGTGGCGCATTGGCGCGCGGCGTCTGGGGGCGGGGCCGAACAGGGCGCGAGCGGGCGCTGCTCTATAAATACTGGGCCTCCGGGGTGATCGCCTCCTTCGCTGCGCGCCGCCTGCCTGGTGAGAGTGGGACGTCGTTATCAGCTTGTATATTTCGCAGTCGCTTCCTTGCTGTTGCCCTCCTGTCTTCTTAACGCCACCTTCTCAGTCCACCATCGCCAACATGAACGGCCAGCTCAACGGATTCCACGACGCGTTCATCGAGGAGGGCACATTCCTCTTCACTTCTGAGTCTGTGGGAGAAGGCCACCCAGGTGAGGTGGCGGGACCCGGGACACGGCGAGGAGCAGGAGGAGGGCAGCGCCAGCGCGGCCGGGGAGGAGGCGGGTGG